TCTGAGAAGAAAGTTGGTTGAATAGCAAGATCGCATCTGGATGATTGCGTATAAGATCTGTGGATATTTGGTGTGTGAGAAAATCATGACTGAATATGTTGAATATGACGGGTTATTTATATGTTGTGCTTTCTGAAGAGAGGTTATGTTCAAAGTTATAAATTACGAAAAACTGAGGAGAATTACGGGAAATCATCACCGCGCCCGCGTTGTGTGTAAAAAATACTGTGAGCATTTATATGTATATGGCCTGTAATTCGACAGTGTACAGTGAATATAATTATTTCTTATCTCTCTCATTTTTCAAATTCAGCAAGTTTGTATATGTAATTTCCAGAATGGATAAGAAAAAGTGAATGCGCAACTAGCTTTGAATCTCAATTAAGTGTATTTGAGACAAGAACCCAATGTAATTACATCAACACATACAACTTACAGCTTAGACCTCCAGTAATGCCATCTCAGAAGCAGATTTTACATCACATCAGAGCCATGACGTTTAGGCAACACGTACAACTAAGTGCTGAGTTAATATCTTGTAGAAGAACCTACATAATGTCAAAAAAAAACAGCATAATGTCAAAAAAAATCGGCGTGTAACTTTTCAAGTACCGGAGTCATCCGACCCAAGTCATCGATAGCACTGCAGCCTCTTGGGTTTATCGTACCCTGCAAATCGAAATTACCACTATCCAATCCAGCAGTCTAGTGTTCTGTACCAGTTGGTATAGTTTTCCAGCCGTTACTTTTCTAAACTCCCTTGGTTGTAATTTTGGTTACGTTTGGTATTTCGACAGTGTACAGTGAATATACTTATTTCTGATCTCTCTCATTTTTTAAATTGAGCAAATTTATATATGTAATTTCCACAATGTATAAGAAAAAGTGGCTGCGCAATCAATTTTTGGCTTTGAAACTCGATTAAGTGTATTTGATACAAGAATTCAATGGAATTATCATCAACACATACAACTTACAGCTTAGACCTCCAGTAATGCCATCTCTCAGCAGATTTTACATAAAATCAGAACCAAACATTAATAACTAAAGCCTTATGACATTTAGACAACACGTACAACTAAGTGCTAAGTTAACATCTTATAGAAAAACCTACATAATGTCAAAAAAAACCAGCATAATGTCACAAACAAATCGGCATAATGTCACTTTTCAAGGTACGTGATTCCCGGAGACACTGGATATGTTAGAAACAAAGGCGATCTTTACTCTGGAAACTAAAAAACATCTAGTCTACTTGGTTAACAGTGGTCAGAAAAAATCATATGGAAAATAACGTCTCCCGATTCTAAAAGGTCGGTATGCCGCTTCTTATTTTAAGATCAGGAATGTGTTTACGTTTTGAGAAATAGCTTTTCTCACTCTATGTAAAGAAAGATAATAAAAATACATAGGTAAATAATGGTTGTCATTTACAATTGTGTCTTGCTCACCTCACTATGTCAGTTTGACGATTCATCTTTATGTCCCTATAAATACTTGACAAGTGACAAATGATGAAGTTAGGGTAATGTTGGAACTGCTTTTGAAATTAGAAGAAATGTAACACGTTATTTCCATTGAAAATAGTAAATAAACTGGTCCAAATATTTAGATAAGGGCAAAAATAACGATAATGAATTGATATGGAACCAAGTCAAAGAATGGATAAGAAACCTGCACAAGAAATTTATCTCGGGACCATGGCCATATACGGGTGCGAAGTACAATGACCTGAAAGACCACCTGCACAAAATTGGTATCTACAATGGAGACCTTAACTGAAGAAAATGCGGAAAAGGAACAGAATCCGAATTTCACAAAAGACATGGTAACCAAAATTAGAACCAAGGGAGTTTAGAAAAGTAACGGCTGGAAAACTATACCAACTAGACTGCTGGATTGGATAGTGGTAATTTCGATTTGCAAGGTACGATAAACCCAAGAGGCTGCAGTGCTATCGATGACTTGGGTCGGATGACTCCGGTACTTGAAAAGTGACATGCCGATTTTTTTTGACATTATGCTGTTTTTTTTTGACATTATGTAGGTTCTTCTACAAGATATTAACTCAGCACTTAGTTGTACGTGTTGCCTAAACGTCATGGCTCTGATGTGATGTAAAATCTGCTTCTGAGATGGCATTACTGGAGGTCTAAGCTGTAAGTTGTATGTGTTGATGTAATTATATTGGGTTCTTGTCTCAAATACACTTAATTGAGATTCAAAGCTAGTTGCGCATTCACTTTTTCTTATCCATTCTGGAAATTACATATACAAACTTGCTGAATTTAAAAAATGAGAGAGATAAGAAATAATTATATTCACTGTACACTGTCGAAATACAAGCCATATACATGCTAACAGTAATTACACCCAACGCGGCCGCGGAGATGATTTCCGGCAATTCTCTGTTTTTCGCAATTCATAACTTTGAACATAACCTCTCTTCAGAAAGCACAACATAAAAATAACCCGTCGGGCACAGGCAATAGATATACTGCATTGGCAGCATATTCAGTAATGATTTTCTCACACATCAATATCACTGATTTTATACACATGCAGACCAGTACACAGAATCATCCAGACGCGATCTTGCTATTCAACCAACTTTCTTCTCAGAGATAAAAGCTTCAGACAAGAACCATATTTGGTCTCACAAAACATATGTAACCAATAATGCGTTTAGTTTAGCTGAGTGATTCCTCCTTAGATGGACGTTCACAACGATCTTAGTGAGCAAACGTGGAATGACTGTTTGCGCCCTAAAAACTACCTAGTTTGCACGATGACATGGGTTATTTTTGACGTTTTATAGGTTTTTTACATGATACCCATGCGGCACGGGTATTACGTATCTCGAAAAGTGACATTCTGTCGACATTTATTGACATACTATAGTTTTTTGGTGACATAACGTTGGTTATGTTGTGTCTGTACTGTGAACTCGTTTTGTAGCTGTGTTGCCTAAATGTTATGATGCTTCAGCTATCAATGTTTGGCTCTGATGTGATGTAGTATCTGCTGCAGAGATGGCATTTTTGGAGGTCTAAGCTGTAAGTTGTATACTATAGCTGGAAAGAAACGGCAGTGCATAGGTGCATGGTGAGGATTTACGTGCTAATTATCTGTATTGATGATAATTCCATTGGTTGCTTGTCTCAGATATACTTTGTTGAGATGTATTCAAAGCTAGAAATTAGTTGCGAATCCACTTTGTTCTTATTCATTCTGGAAATTACATATGCAAATTTGCTGGAACGCGGAATGGATTATTTGCACAATAAAAACTACCTAGTCTGCAAGATGAAATTTTTTTCGGTTTTTTGACGTTGTTAGGTATTTTACATATTACCCCAGCCGGAAAGGAGGCAAAAATCCAGTATTTAGGTAGGTTTTTGTTTCTGCAGGTAAGCAATGATAATAAAAACCTACCTAGGTAAAAAAGTAATATTTCTGAATATGTGAATGCAAGTGACAAATAGTGGATGTTAGGAAAATATCGGAAATATGCTTTTAAAACTAGCAGAAGGATAACACGGTCAAGAAACCTTAGGACATTATTCGCTATGAATATCGTAAAATAAACTAATCCAAACTTTTAGGTGATAACGCGAATAAATGAAGACATCTAAGTATAATAAAATCAAGTATATTGGTTTAAATTGGAGTCGTTTCTATTAATACCTCACTTAGTTAAACCACTATTGATCACACTACGCGCATCAGAATATAAAAGTGCTTGACCAATAATGACTCACTTCTATACATGTGTATATCATGTATTATTAGTGTTCGTTTACCGTACCCTACATACGAGATAAGTTGATAACTGCTTTTGGATAGATAACGCTTTGTTCGTCCGCAATGAGCTATGATTCAGGAACTACCATTGAGGCGTTGATACGATGACAAATATAGCGCTATTTTTTCGCTCATATGTGTATGCATCGAATTTTTGAGTACTACCAGTTACAGTAATTTAACCGTTTACAAAGTAAATAATCTTCATTGTAGATTCATTACATTGTAACTTTATTTCTCATAGTACTGACAAATCTTCGGTAAATATGGATATGAAATACATTTAAAAGTAGCAACATCCGTTGTTCTTTTTATTAACATGTTCATAGTGTTCATAGAGGTATGCAAAACTATATGTATTGATCATACTTTATGTCAAATGTCATTGTTTTAGGTCGCATTCTGGTCAATTATAGTAATTGGTGGGCTCACTCGAGTTCCTTGATTGGAATCCTTAAGTAGTCCCTTTTTATTGGTGTTCTTTTATGTCTGACCACTAAAAAAAAACGCATATGATCAACTACATCAGCTTTCCTGGATTAGGGTCTGGGTAAAATCTAAAGAAAAACAACTGCTACAGTGTGAGCGACATATTTTAACTCTTGGATCCTGGGAAAAGGCGAATGCATGGCTAAATTTATGATACATTGTGACATGTGAACTCAGTTCCCGATTCGGTTCGAGAGATAAGGTTATTGGTATAATTTTGACTTATATCTCAACTAACAAACACCTACAGCCAGTAGTAAGGTTTTGTTGTTACTAGCATTAAGTCCCATTACCATGCTGTCATTTTGCCCTTTGTTAACACTACATTTATCTGAATCTAGATCACCCGTCCACTCCCATATTGTCTAGTGTATCTTTGTTGTTAGAGCTTCTGGTTTTTTAGCAGTTTTAAACGATTTAAAAAAATAACTTTGATGTAAACACAAGTCTAGGCAATAAGAGATAACCAATCATGAATTCACCTAACTGCACCTTTCAATGTAGTCTGCGTAGTAAGCTTATTACAAAAGAATCATATGGAGACGATAAGGGATTTTTAATGCGTCTCAGAAACCCATGCGAATTGGAGATACTTAAACTTACTCCAACTCAATACGAGCACTTTCTCTGGAAAAACCTAGCTTCATAGTCATGCTTCCAAGAAAACCGTCTTTCTCTGTCTACCTAGTAAAACCACATGAACTCACCCATGCCAACACGTTAGTGAACATAATCATATACTTGATCACCGCAATCTGGTTCTCCAGCTTCAGGATGTTCCCTTCACCTTCTCCATCACCTTTTCCTGCCATTTTGTCCGTTATTCACACACAAAACTGTAAACAAAAACGAAAAAAATGAAACCGCCGCGTACGTACAACGCGTTACTGCGGATGCTAACTTCGAGTAATTAGCACTGCCTCACCTATTTAGCGCATCAGAGATAAGATAGAGATTTATCAGTGATTAAACAAAGTTAGTAAGGAATGATTCACGATTTTTATTATATTGCTGGGTCGATGAATGTGTTTGTTGGTTGCGTGATGTATTTTTGTAGGTATGTTGATAAAGTTTGGTGAAATTGTAGGTTTCACTGACTGATTAGGTAAGACAGATAAGAGACGTTAGGAGTCCTAGTTTTTCTAGCTTATTCCTCTTTTTGAAGTATTGTATGTGAACTACTTACACAAACCTTATATTCGATAAGCTACTTTATACAATAATGCAATCTTCAGGACAATTCTGTTCAATAATACTTAGTAATATTGCTTCTTATCATTGTAAAGAGAACTTGTTATGCGTGAGAAGTACTCTACAGATTCCTCTATTCTGCTCAATATAATTATCTTAACAAGATAGTCTGTCATTTGGAATATATCTTGTTATACTATCATGTTTTCTTGGTAAATATGTAGAATTTTGGTACATACCAACTAAAAATAGTAGTAGTATTATTGTTTACTTGTGCAAACTCAAAGCAAGTCCAAGGAATGTAAATAATGTGTTAAAACTACCCGACGACTAGTTTCAGAAACTAAGTTTAAATGAGTTAGAAGCAGCATAGCTGATTGGTCAGTTGCAAGAGAACGTATGAATATTAAGCAACATTTACACCTGGGTTCTGTTCGTTTTTGCCCTTCAAAATGTATAATTTGCTTATATCTATTTTTCACGTATTTCAAATCAGTACGACTTCATAAAGCTCCTTACTTATTCATAAAATTTTCATTAGATATAAATCATATATTAACGTAAATACAAAGACGTACATATGTCAACTATCTTTGTTGAATTGACCTATTTAGTGTTAAGAAGCCAAAATTTGATGTTTATTATACAATGTGTTTGATCACGACATACCGATATTTAAGGGGGGTATTTTTCAGCTATTTTTATCGACAAATCCACCCTTCTAAAATTGTAATAACTGAGTACATAAGTGTCACAGAACGATAAATTTAGCGTCAATTGAACAATAGCATGTTGTTCTAGCGATTGTTGAAAAATTTGTATCGATACTAACCGTCAAACATAAAAACAAACAAAACCTGAAAACAAAGTTGCAAGAAAATTGATTATTTTGTGCATTACCGCACACCACTCAAAAACTAGTTTGTGAAGTTGTACTGCTTTTGAGCTAATTCTACAGCTAACTATGTTATCTACAAAATGACCCCAAATTTGTTATCCTAAGTCTTCTACGTTAAGTAATAAATGCTATCTAACATGGGTCAAAGGATACATAAAATTGACAAATCAAAGTTTCTTATAAATAGTTCAATGTCACAAAAAATTCTATGGACGGACGAAGCAAAATTTACGAGGCTGGGGATCATAAACCATAGAAATGACCACTTGTGGTCTTCGGAAACCACTCACGTAGTTCGACTGAGCACTTTCCAACAGGAATTTAATGTAAACATGTGGATCCGAATGATCGAGGGAGTTTTAGTCGGCCCAGTTGAGCTACCCCCAAGGTTAGATGGCCAGGGATTTTTGTACTTCTTGAGTACCGAGTGTTTTCAGATCTACCCCACTTACCAACCACCGCAACATATGGTTGGAGCTCCCACACGCTTTTGCGCTAGAACATTTGGGTAGGCAACATTCTCCATGGATAGGACGTGGAGGTACTGTCGCTTGGCCACTCCGATCACCCGATTTGACGCCCCTAGATTATTTTTTCTGGGATACAATGAAGCAAAAAGTCTACTGTCATGTGTCGATGACACGGGAAGAGCTCGTGGAAAGGATCCATACCGCTGCGAACGGAATTAGCGATGACACGAATATGACCCTCTGCTCAACACGACACATTGTTTTAAGAACTACAATGTGCATAACCAATAATGGAGAGCATTTTGAACAGCTTCTGTAACATTAAACATGTCCAAACTATTTATAAGGAACTTTGATTTGTCATTTTTATGTATACTGTGACCCATGTTAGATAGCATTTATTACTTAACGTAGAAGAAATTTGGTGTCATTTTGTAGATAACATAGTTAGCTTTAGAATTAGTACAAAAAAAGTACAACTTCACGAACTAGTTTTTGAATGGTGTGCGGAAATGCACAAAATAATCAATTTTCTTGCATATTTTTTTCTGTTATTGTCTGTTTTTAAATTTGGTGTCATTTTGTAGATAACATAGTTAGCTTTAGAATTAGCACAAAAAAGTAAAAGTTCACGAACTAGTTTTTGAATGGTGTGCGGAAATGCACAAAATAATCAATTTTCTTGCATATTTTTTCTGTTTTTGTCTGTTTTTAAGTATTGTTACCCTCTTGCCAGGGGGGTGGTTGTAGATGCACTTCCCTGCACAATGAATGTTACTTCTGGGGTTCGAAGTGGTTGTTGATTTGGAGGATTAGGGCGCTGGGGGAAATGAAAAGATTGCCAATTTCCAGAGCTTGCCCAAAATCTATTTAACTATTTTTAATAAATCACATGAAGGGTGCTATTACAAAGTTTGCAACAAACTACCTGAAGGGTGCTATGACAAGGTTTGCAACAAACTACCTGAAGGGTGCTATGACAGGATTTTCAAGTATTCAAAATGATCACAGTAAGCTCAAAATTTCACTTTGCAATGGTTAATCGATCACCTAACAACAAATGAAAACCAACATTAGTGACTTACCAAGTTTCCGGGGTATGCATACCTCAGGATCACACCAGCTGTGAAGTTAGGATAAATAATTCATATTAAGTGAAATTAGCTGCTTAAGTATATAAATGCAGTTGGACGGGGTTTCAGCACATGGCGTCTGTGGACATTGGCAACAGCTGAATCAGCTTCCTTCCTCAGGGGCTGCTTGGATCTCTCATTACAGGGCAGGGCGTGGAAAAGTCGTCAGGGCTTCATCTGAAGGTATCAGCAGTAGTTTGGTCGAGAAAACGTAAGGTGAAGAAGACGAAAAGTTGGGAGAAGATGAAAAAAAAGGCCTGAAACAAAAATCCAATATGGCGCCGGGTTCCATTTTAACGCAAGCCGAATTGCTTACCTCTGTTGGAGTGTGGCCTAAAAGTGTCGGCTAGAACGCCGTAAAAGCGTCGAAGACTCCCGTCTCCCACATCCCCGTAGGATTATATGAGACATAAAAAGGAAGAACGCTTAGACTTCATTTGGCGTAAAGATCCGCAAAATGCGTGCTTCTCAACAGAGCTACGACCAAAAAGTGAAGTCTCTTCAACTTGGACACGGAACACAAAGTTCGAGAGGAGCAATGGAGCAATGGAACAACAGCGGACTGTTCCCGGACTGAAAGGACCGAACACTTGTCAAAATGTAACATTGAGGTTAGGAAAGAAACGAAGACGTATATAATTCTCAGATGAAGGGGCCTCAACTACAAAATGAGATAATAGATGGAGAGTTACGTATAAACCATAGAGAAAATCTTCAGGTAGTCAAACTAGAAATATGTCTACCCTTGTTTAGTGTTTACGATTATTGCAGGGTCACGCCAGTTCCTACAAGGTTTTCAAATTAAACCCATAACAGTATGTTTGAAGGTTAGTATCAATACAAGTTTTTCAATAATCGCTAGAACAAATGACACCAAATTTATCATTCTTTGACTCTTATGTTCTCAGTTATTACAATTTTCATACACGCTCTAGTGTAATTGTAACGTAAAAATAAAAATGGCTGCCATTTCAAGGGGGGTGGGGTAGGACATTGTAGGGGGTGGATTTGTCGACAAAAATAGCTGAAAATACCCCCCTTAAATATCGGTATGTCGTGACACATTGCATATTAGCATATTTTTACGTAATAGTTGACTCTCTTATCAGATCCTAAGACCAGTGTACGTCTCAAGAACAAAATGAGTCCCAATCCGATAGGCTTGCGTCGATTTATTACAGAGTTTCCAAGACCACATCCCCGCTTCATAATCAGCAAAGCCGTCTTTAGCAGATGCGAGGCCTGGAGCAAAACATTGTTGCGAGGCCTTTTTTTTAAAGAAAGTGGTCTACTCCGAAAATTTCTTAAAATTCTGATGCAAAAAAGTATTTTTAGCCTTTTTGATAAAGTCATCTAAAAACACTCCAATTATTTACGTATTTTTTTTATTTGCCAAGGTTGACTCTATTTTTATTTTTCATGTACATAAGTATACAAATATTTCACTCTGTGTAAGGAATTGAGATAAGAAAGGAATATTATTTATGACTATGGTCTAAACTCATCCACTTTAATTTTTTAAGCGATGAATCATTGGGAAAACTATAATAAAATTTAGGTCTGCAAATTCGTATATGAAATCTTTTTTTCTAGTGAATAATCAATAATAAATAAGCACATATTATTACAAAATATTCATATTATTTGCTCGGTAGATTCTGACATAGGCTCATCTTCTCCCTCGAACTCAATCATTCTGTGTTTGACTTCTTTGGATTTTGGCTCTACACCCAGAGTTTCACTAAGCTCTCTTGCTATCCATGTGGCCGCCACTAAACCTTCAACTCTAAATTTCTGAAGAAAATTAACTAGCCCTTGAAGTAACTGCGACGCAACTCCAAGGCAGCGCGCCGGAAAGCATGATTCACCCACCGGCATGCGCGGGGTTCGGAGAGTTATCACTCCGGACCCCGCCACCTATACCAAACGAAGATTTGCATTCTTTTGGTCACGATTATCTGCTTCGTAGGTTTTGCAATTGATCAATAATTTTACATATTGCGGTAGTAATGAGACAGATATTTTAGGCACTTATATTTGTACATTATTATATTATTTTCATTCAACCAAAGCTTTTTACTTATTTGTTCGCGCGAGTATGGCCCGGAGCGGCCGGTCCACTCGCTCCACTCTAAAGACGGCCCTTTTTTTTATATCGAAACAGCCGCGCAGGCAGAAGCCTAAATGCCGGAACACCGCGGCTGCTATGATGATCCCAAAGAAATTTTGTTAATACGATTTTTGAACTGCCTAAGGTTAGTAGAACTGGGAAAAGCTTCCTCCCGTAGATTGTTCCACAATCTAGACACCCTCGGGACAAAGGAGCGGTCGTATCGGCCAGTCCTGGATGTACAAAGTTTGACACGGTTAGGATGGGACGCCGAAGTCAGGCGGGTCTGTCTGGCAGGCACATCGCGCGGCAGCATCATGGAAGAGAGCTCTGAGGAGCAAAGCCCGTTGGTGTAGCGATAGAAAAGAGCTAGATCGCCGACGGCCCGCCGGTGCGAAAGAGTCCCGAGACTGTCTGTTAGAGAAGAGTCATCGATCAGTCGGACCGCCCTCCTCTGGACAGCATCGAGCATGGACAATGTAGTCGGGGCGGCAGCACCCCAAATGTGTGAGCAATACTCGAGGCTAGGCCTTATCTGGGCCTTGTATAGAGTGAGAAGGTCATGCGGAGAAAAGTACTTCTTAGCCCTAAACAAATAGCCTAGCTTTTTCCCAGCAGCTGCAGCTATTGAAGAGATGTGTTCGTGCCAGATCAGGTCCTCGGTGATCTGGACTCCGACCAGCCGAAACGAATGGCTCTTTGGTAGAACTCTACCGTCTATCGAAACTGCATGAGCGCTAGGACGCTTTTTGTTCGTCAAAGTACAGTACTGTGTTTTGGAAGCATTGAACTGTACAAGATTGTTGCGTCCCCAAGCAGTGATAGCCTCCAGGTCTCTTGTCAGAGAAGAAGTCGTCGCTAGTCTTCTTTTTTTCCAGCTCAGTGGCAGAGATCGGCTTGTCACTCTGAATCCCTGCATGCAGAGTGCTGTCATCAGCGAAGCTGTGGATCGGGTTGATCGTGCAGGAAAGGAGGTCGTTGATATGTAAGAGAAACAGTGTTGGAGCCAAGACCGACCCCTGGGGAACACCCGCGTTGACGTTGTGGGATGAAGAGGAGAATCCGTCAATTACGACGGATATCTTGCGGCCAGAGAGAAAGTCAGCCACCCATCTGCAAAGCTTTTCTGGGAGGCCGTAGGATGGAAGTTTGCTCAAGAGGGCAGCGTGCCACAGCTGATCGAACGCTTTCGTGATGTCAAGAGCAACGACATGAGCCTCACCATGAGACTGGATGAGTTTACTCCACAGTTGCGTGACGTAAGCTAGGAGGTCCCCTGTGGATCGTTGGTGCCGGAAACCGTACTGCCTGTCGCTAATCAAGCTGTGACGTTCGAGGTAGTCCAGAAGCTCGCGATTTATGCACCTCTCCATCCCTTTACTTATAACAGAAAGCAGAGCTATAGGCCTGTAGTTGTAAGGGTCGGTTTTAGATCCTTTTTTTGGGATGGGCTGTACATGAGCAAATTTCCAGTTTTCTGGGAAGGTGCCGGATTCATAAGATATCCGGAAGAGTCGCGAAAGAACTGGAGCAAGCTCAGCTGCACATCTCTTCAGTACAATGGCAGGAATCAAGTCCGGACCAGAAGCTTTGTTGGTGTCGAGCGACAAGAGCACTCGTCTTACGGTCTTATGCCTGAATGTTACCTCCCGCATAGTGTGAGGAACCCTTTGAATCGACGGCACTTGGGCGTTGGTGGGGACGTCCATGGTGGAGTTGGCAGCAAAGATCTTGGCTAGCACTTCCGCCTTGGCCTTTGAGTCGAATACAATCATCAGATCAGCACTATGTCAAAATAATGATTCGTTGTCATGATAGACTGATTGGATTTCGAATTACATCACTTTAGACATTGTGCTTCACCATCAATCCTTTTTATTTGATACTCATATCGCAGCAGTTACTATGGTAATGTCAAATCGATATTTTGCTGATGCCGCCATATTGGATTTAGAATGGCATCACTATGCTTGTTACGTTTCCCTTATCAAGCTCTTCCACTTAGGCCTCATATGATAGGTGTGACTATGGAAGTTATAACTTGCCATCTTGCGTTGGCTGCCATACTGAAATTAAAATGTCAACACTGATTATTGTGATTTTCCCAGCGAGCCCTTTCATTTGATACCTACGCCGACGGTGGTGGCAGTGGCGCCCGCGGAAAAACGTCCGCTATCATAGTGGTAACTATGGAAGTTATTAGCGCCATCTTGTGTCAGTCGCCTTATTAGATTAAGAATAACGTCGATTTGCTTATTGTGTTTCTCTTATCAAGACCTTCCATTTGATATCCAAATCCTAGGTGTTTCACTAATAAGTCGCCATTGTGTAGCATCCATTTTAAGCGCCTAAAAATGACGGCCGTGTATTGTTACGCGAACCAAACCTGTATACATAATTTTAGTTCATTCGGTTGAGGCTAACTGGTTCAAAATTCAGATGCAAGATTTGTCCCACATTTTAATAAAGGCTTAAAGAAAAGGACCGCCTCCTTGCATTGGTGAATCTAGAGGTTGACGTATTGAACATATTTTGTAGATTTAGGCGCTCCAGATGCTTAGTAATTTAAAACAGTACAAAGGAATACCATGGATTTTGCTCCATGTTTTCCAAACACTAGACTCTTTAACTACTAGCATCTGTATTGTGACACAAAGTCTAAAAATGAAGACGCCAGCACAAAAAAAAAACAATTTTCCGAATGATTTTCTATATAGCTGATGCCTGATTGGTGAGCCATTTACTCGCAGATCAATGAAGTGTAGAATCAAGGAACCTAAAAGTTAAAAGGGGAGAAAACTTCAAAGTCAGCAGTAACGTAAAGTGAACATATCTTGGAGACAGGGGGATATGGCATACAATGGAAACAAGTTTTTCTTTCAAATAAAGCGGATAATAGTTTAAAGAGATAGGGAAGGAAATATGCTTATACGTATAAGGCTGAAATGTGATGGCATT